TTATGAGGAGTGGCTTTATTTTATGAGGAGTGGCTTTATTTTATGAGAGATAAATATACTCTATGTTGTGATATTCAATTTCCTGGGAGAGAAATCTGTTTAGTTCTGTATGTTTTTTTCCGTTGTATTGAATTTCAATAATATTAAATTCAGTAGTCTACTTTTCGTAAATTTCAATTTTAATGATTTACATTTCAGAAATTTATGTTTCAGAAATATAAATTTCACTATTCGTCATTGCAGTAATTAACATTTTTTTACGCGAACTCAAGAGATCTCGTCGATATGAGTTCAAAAATTTGTAATTAAAATATGGGGTTACCTCGCATATAATTTATTTACATATTTGAATACCTCATCGAACTCACTTGGGCAGAGAGCAAGACATGTATCTAGCGTGCGGGTAGGCAAGAATTCAGGCAATGGTTGATAGGTGAAAATTTTGAAATGGTTTAAGAGGAGACTTATTACAGTGGTTGGTAGGGAAAATTCCTGCAATGGTTGATAGGTGTGCTTCACGCATTTTTCACGCATTTGTTGAATTAGCGCTTTCACGCAATTGTTCAGAAGTCGTTTGAAAAACCAAAACGATTCAAATTATCACCCTGCACTACAAAGCATTAGAAGATTTTATGCAATTTTTTCCAATATTCGATGCAGAGATTGCGTTTGAGATCAATTCTCGCTCTGAGCGAGTCCGCTTTCGTATTGGATCTCGGTTTTTCGATAATTAGTCAGGCAATCAGGACACATTATCGTTATTTTTCTGACAACTACATTCGTCATAACTTAACCGATGCTGATAATTTTTCATTTTTTTCGGTGCCAGAATACTGCTTTTGATTTAGTGAAGTGGTTTTACCGCAGAATAAAATTCACAAAACTACTCTGCGTTTGATGTATATTTTATCAGGGAACATTAAATTATATTGAACATGAGTTATAATTGAAATTCAATGGAGTATTTATTATTGTTATTGTCATCTTGTTGAGTGCTTGTCGCATTCAACTTAAATGCAGTCGATGTAATTCTGCGCAGTTCACTTAAGTCAGGTGTTGGCTGTCGACTATCCTCGGTAAAAGATTTATACTCATACGGAATATTGATCTGAACGGATACATGCGATTCTATGTTGGGCCAAGATTTCGAAAAAAAGTCTTATTTGCATCATACAAGATACTAATTTTACATACAATCTTTTTTAAACTTCGTATATTTTTCGTATTCTCGCTAAGAATAATTACTGTCGCAGCAAGCGTAAAAACGTTTAAATTCTTACTTAAGTCATACAAATACTTTTACATTAAATCTTTTTAAACTTTGCCCATTTTTTGTATTCTCTAAGAATAATTTAAGAATACTAATATTAATATTAATTGAATCGAAAGAAATATTAATATATTTATTTTAAGAACAATTTAAGTCATAGCAAGCGAAAAAACATGTATTCAAAATCCTTCGCAGCAATGAATGTTAGACGATAAATACATTAGGCTGCTACACATCATAACATGAGCAAAAATATTAAAAATTCTGTATTCTCCATGAACATTTATTGTTTTCCAATTCAGCAAGCAAGGAAGAATAACATTTCCCCGTTGCTTTACCTGGTGTTGGAACTGAAATTTGAATACGAATTTGGGTTTACGAATCTCTTGAATATATTGAAAGTACACAAAAACAACGAAGTAAATTGTTCATAGTCCCAATATGTCGAGGTAACAAGTCTCTCGGAAGTACTCATGCTTGTCTTTCAAACGCGTAGGAACAGAAAATAAAAGCCCCGGAGGCACTGCAGAGGCAGTAGAGCGGTCGCTACTTATTTCGGCGTCGTTACATTGGGAGGCTTGTGGCCTCAACAACGAAGCTTTGATGGCCTCACGTGACTGTGAAAGGCCAGCCTTACAGCCTTCGTCGCTTTACTCCATGTCCTCACGTGACTGTCAGAGGCCAGCCTTACAGCCTCTGCTGCCTCACTCTACATGGCCTCACGCGACTGTGAGAGGCCAGCCTGAACTCACTTGACCAGAGAGCAAGAAATTTATCTAGCTTGCGGGTTGGCAGGAATTCAGGCAATGGTTGATAGGTGAAAATTTTGAAAAGGTTTAAGAGGAGACTTATTACAATGGTTGCTAGGGAGAATTCCTGCAATGGTTGATAGGTGTGCTTCACGCATTTTTCACGCATTTGTTGAATTAGCGCTTTCACGTAATTGTTCAGAAGTCGCTTGAAAAACCAAAACGATTCAAATTATCACCCTGCACTACAAAGCATTAGAAGATTTTATGCAATTTTTTCCAATATTCGATGCAGAGATTACGTTCGAGATCAATTCTCGCTCTGAGCGAGTCCGCTTTCGTATTGGATCTCGGTTTTTCGATAATTAGTCAGGCAATCAGGAAACATTATCGTTATTTTTCTGACAACTACATTCGTCATAACTTAACCGATGCTGATAATTTTTCATTTTTTTCGGTGCCAGAATGCTGCTTTTGATTTAGTGAAGTGGTTTTACCGCAGAATATGATTCACAAAACTACTTTGCTTTTGATGCATTTATTAGCAGGGAACATTAAATTATATTGAACATGGAGTTTAAATTTGAAATTCAATGGAGTATTTTTTATTATTTTTGTCCTCTTATTGAAAGATTGTTGCATTCAACTTAAGTGCAGTCGATGTAATTCAGCGCAGTTCACTTAAATCAGGTGTTGGCTGTCGACTATCCTTGGTAAAATATTTATACTCATACGGAATATTGATCTGAACGTATACATGCGATTCTATGTTGGGCCAAGATTTCGGAAAAAGTCTTATTTACATCATACAAGATACTAATTTTACATACAATCTTTTTTAAACTTCGTATATTTTTCGTATTCTCGCTAAGAATAATTTCTGTCGCAGCAAGCGCAAAAACGTTTACTCAAAAGTTTTCACAGGTTCGAAAAAATTCTTACTTAAGTCATACAAATACTTTTACATTAAATCTTTTTAAACTTTGTACATTTTTTGTATTCTTTAAGAATAATTTAAGAATACTAATATTAATATTAATTGAATTAAAACAAATATTAATAAATTTAATTTAAGAACAATTTAAGTCATAGCAAGCGAAAACACATGTATTCAAAATCCTTCGCAGCAATAAATGTTAGACGATAAATACATAAGGCTGCTACACATCATAAACAGAGCAAAAATATTAAAAATTCTGTATTCTCCATGAACATTTATTGTTTTCCAGTTCAGCAAACAAGGAAGAATAACATTTCCCCGTTGCTTTACCTGATGTTGGAACTGAAATTTGAATACGAATTTGGGTTTACGAATCTCTTGAATATATTGAAAGTACACAAAAACAACGAAGTAAATTGTTCATAGTCCCAATATGTTGAGGTAACAAGTCTCTCGTAAGTACTCATGCTTGTCTTTCAAACGCGTAGGAACAGAAAATAAAAGCCCCAGAGGCACCACAGAGGCAGTAAAGAGGTCGCTACTTATTTCGGCGTCGGGACATTGGTAGGCTTGTGGCCTCAACAACGAAGCTTTGATGGCCTCACGTGACTGTGAGAGGCCAGCCTTACAGCCTTGTCGCTTTACTCCATGTCCTCACGTGACTGTCAGAGGCCAGCCTTACAGCCTCTGCCGCCTCACTCTACATGGCCTCACGTGACTGCGAGAGGCCAGCCATACAGCCTCTGCCGCCTCACTCTAAGTTCGAGACTGTGAGAGGCCAGCCTTACAGCCTCTGCCGCCTCACTCTACGTGGCCTCACGAGACTGTGAGAGGCCAGCCTTACAGCCTCTGCCGCCTCACACTGCAGAGACTCACGAGAGGCCAGCCTTACTCACTCACTCTGTCTGTGCTGGAGCGATCGCCAATAGCGCAAAAACTATATAATAATATTTCGTTTTATAATGTGAAACATAATATTTATATTTTCAATTTGATTTTAAAATATTCCATAATTCATGTACAATATTTAATATTGTGCTTCGAATAGAGCCTCTACTGTTAAAGTACAAAGCTCAGTCACGCTCGCTGCACCGATACAAAATAAATACGATTAGTTTCTCGCCAGGGAGCTTTAGTTCCATTGTTGTGTTGAAAAACGTGATTACATCCGAGTGAGATACAAAAAAATGTTTGATGACACAAGAGACAAACCTTTAGATGCTGAATGTGTATTGTTTAACAACAACAAAATATGTATCCAATTGTCAGACAAAAATTTAAAACGTGACTACGCTGGACTCAAGAGATATTATCTGATCTCTTTGAACAATATCAAATTAAGTAACTCTCATAAATAAACCAAGGGTTGTGCAGAACATTGGTTGTGCGGAGCGTGCATTTTAAATGGCATTTTTAGTCTTGTGATAAACTATAATGAAATTTGTGGACCAAACAAATTGAAACCTCTAAAAATTAATTTTATCTTTCAAGTTAATGTATGGTGAAGCAGCACTTTCACGTGATATGAGTAGATTTAATTAATAATTTCAATTAAAGATATATTTCCAGCTATGTAATATTGGCTCGAATGATGAAATTTTGGATCGGATCTAGCGCCAATATCTCGCGCATCCATTCATGCGTTATTAATTAAAAGTATTATATTTCTAGAGAGTGGAAACGGTTTTTTATGGCAACGCTTTCTATTGAATGAAAGCTATGCCTTGAGAGGTCGTTTTTAAAGTTTCTTCAATCAAAGGGATTATAATGAGATAAAAAATACAATAACTTTAAATTTTATTACTAAGAGAAAATCTTTGAATAATTCTTATAATAACTAAATAAAACTCTATAAAGGACTACTGCATCAATCAATGAAAAGAAAGAAATGCATAGCTTTAAACTGGAACTGAGATATTAATTGTCCAGCCGTAAATATTCAATTATCTTAAAGTTTGCTAATTTCTAAGTCCAACTTCTGCACCAACAATTACATGAATTTTTACCCTTAGCTCAAATTACAAGAAGCACCTAAACTCACCCATAAAAGTGCTGTTCGTGATTATCTTCAGGAAAGAGGCGGGATCCATCCTTCAAGTTTGGAACTATAATGATTTACTACAAACTTCCTGGACTTTTTGATAATCTAATAAGAGCTTCGCCGAGTTTGTTCTTCTCTGTTGACTTGAACAACAAAAATGTACACAGGAAATTGCAGTCTCGTGCTATTAGCGCTTCCCTTAGGAAATGTTAACTAATTTACATAAAGCACCGAAATTACTTCTGCTGAAGGCGCACAAATTTTGAGTGCAAATTTTAATAATGAACTTTTCATAGTCACTGTTTTCATACATTTTGAATGTTGATGGCTATGTACCTGAGTTTTGGTCAGAACAATGGAAGCGCACCGACAAAACATTAACAGCTCACTCCTAATTTGCTCTCTCGAGTTTAGAAGCAACTTTTTACATTAAACCGACAGCACGGAAATCTCACATTGCCGTAAGAGGATATGTGAGATTTTATACATAAATTTAATGGGTATTGCAGCCTTCAAGTTAAGCACTGACACTCATGGGATAAGGTTTTCGTTTAAACTTTGAATGATCAATGCATCCAAGTCATTGACTGAATTCGACATGCATAACTGAGATTTGAAACTGACCAGACACTGAAATTGCTTTAAGGGACTTGCAAACAATTAACATGTTTGTTCGATATCAAAGATTTATTCATTTAACTAAACAAAAATTGTGCAAAGGCAGAAAAGTTATTTCCTACAGTAACTTTCTCCCCTAATTAATTAAAATTATTGAAAAACTAAACTCAAGTTTTTGGTTGAGTGATGATTTAGATTTGTCTCTCGCGTCCCTTCCTAAAATTATTAATATGAAAGGCGGTCTGTTGAGGCTTGGTTTGCTGCCCCAAGTGGTATATATACAATATATTTTTATATATGTGCAATAATGAAAAATATAAAAACAATATACTTTTTGGGAGTTGGATTCCTTGACTGAAATATTCTATAAAAAATACAATCTTTTTGGGGGTTAGATTTTCACCTCCACCAGACATCACACCAGACCAACGTTGCCAGCTCTTGCAGTTCTAATTGCAGACTCGGATACAATGGCAATTTTGCAATGACATTCTCGTGACAAATGCGCTAAGTCCATTAGACCTGCAAGACCACACCGCAGATCTGGACCACACCGCAGATCTGGACCACACCGCAGATCTGGACCACACCGCAGATCTGGACCACACTACAGATCTGGGCCACACCGCTGATCTGGACCACAAAGATACCCGGTGCAGAATGAAGTCTTACGGCCGTCATTAGCTGCTATTATCAAGCGACACAGTTTGTCATCTTACACTCAGAGAAGTGAGCGAGACCTTGTCCCAATTAGCCAGGCGCATTTTCAGCTAATCTGCATCACCCTGACCCAGTTGGGCCACGCAAAAACGCATATTAGTGTTACCTACATTCGCTTTATGCACGTGTTGTGTGTGAGAAAAAGCGGCACTGTTTGAACAATATAACTCCTTTATTTTTCTGAGAGTCACTTAACATTTATTGACGACGTGAATGTGCCGTGCATTACATACGCCAGACTGCAGGGCGCTTAAACATTACTTTAATTCAACATCGTCATTAGTTGTCTTAATGAATAATTATTGTTGGGCACCGGGTCATTGTTGTGCGTTAGCAATATTACTGTTGCTGGCGCCTGAAATTGAGACCGTTAATTCGAATGCAATCAGACTAATCGGCGACAAGTTAATATTAATGGGAATAGCTGCCTTGTGGACATTAAAATAAGTCTGATGTATAGATAGCAACCAGAATAAAGAGATATTACTTAATAATTCACTTTAGTGATAATGTGCGAGAAATTCTTGCTGAATCTTGGAACTATCTTAAAAAAAATTTGTCAGATGAAAGCTGAATTGAGCATTTAGTTATACTAGTGGCAGAATTACATTTCGTAGGATTAAAATTAACGTATCTATGTAGGGTATCTATTTGTTGAGGTGTCTCTATGGAAAATAGATGCGACCCTTGATCCTCAGTTCGATGTATTGCTAAATTTTGTCACCACAAGTCGCAACTGTAGCTGAATGCATATCTCTAATCTTTATCTCCGATTGTTGATGGTAATAACGTAAAATATTTCAACCTAAATAAGTTTAACTGAAACCTTTTTTTATGGCCGTTTTACTATTGCATTTGGATTATTTTATAACGTGTTTGTGTTTTGGAAACAACCCAGTTTGTCAGTCGCTTCGGTAAGAGACTTATTTATACTTTCATATTACCGATGTCTGCGTATGATAATTTTCATTTAAACACATTTCATTTCATTTAAAGGAAATTTGTATGTACCTACATACAAACTTTAAACTTCGTCCATTCTGCTGTGAAACATCCTGATCCTTCGCCTTCAGGAACCCGAAGTTTTTATACACTATGAACGATGTAATCATGAATTATACAACATGAGTGAACGATGTCATGAATTTTTTAATATAAAATTCTTGAACTTCACATCCTGAGTAGCGGGGTGCAGCTTAGCGAGGAAGGCTATCTGGCTTCACCGCTTAGAGTTACGGAGACAAACGAGCGAACTTTCGAGATAAGCTACAGTGTTGGGAGGTGCTTGAGATGCTTGATATAATGACTTACCGGTGTTATGGTCGTGTTAATGTTCTTATTGTTATAGGGTTTGTGCTGTTGTTTTTACTGTTGTTTGTACTGTTATAGTGTTTGTCCTGTGACAGTGCTTGTGCAGTTACAGTGTTGGTCTTGTTACATGTTTGCACTGTTACAGTGTTGGTCCTGTTACAGTGTTTGTACTGTTACAGTGTGCATTTTTCTTACCGTGTTTGTACTTCTGTCGTTACAGTATCTGTACTGTTACAGTGTTACTTAATCCGGCGTATAATGTGTGAGAAATTCCTAATTTCTCACCGTTAATTTGTATTAGGCTAGAGTTTATTTATTAAACTATAAACCCAAATTATCTTGCTTCTAGAATCCGCTTCTCTGAATTCAGCCGAATAATAAGTGTTAGTCTAAATCAGGGGTTCTGCCGCGGATCTAAGACAGTCCTCATCAGCATCTGTTATCGATTGTATCAAAATTATCCGTGCCGCCAGTGAAAACATCTGTGTTCAAATCTCGATATTCTCATCTAAATTCAAAAGCTTGACATTTCTGCAGTTATTGCCGATTGCCACTTATATCAGCCTTTCAACCGTACCGATTGTCAACTTACCTGCTTTAACGTTCAAGTATTTCTACCATCTTGCTTTAAACCTGTTTCTCTGTCCCTTGGTTTGTGTGAATGTCGTTTGAATTTCGTTTTGTTTATTTTTTTTTGCTCTATTAAATTCATTGATTCAATCTGTTGGGAAGTTGGACTTAGTTTAAGTGTTACTATTCAAATTAATTCAAATTTAACTTTCATGTTGTAAATTTATTCATAATTTATTATAAATCAAATCAAGCTATTCAAATTTTTAATAGTTTTTGCTCAAGAAGGGCGTTTCTTTATGACGTCACTCGCAAAGATCACTTTTTAAATCTTAGTCTTAAGTCTTTATCTCAAATTTCTCAAGCATCAAATCCTTCTACTGTTCTAGCTATTTTTCTCGTCCAACTTCCCACCCCTTAAACTGATTTCCGCTGTTTTCCTACAATTATTCTTCCTTCAAAAAGTGATGACCACACTGGGCATTTAAACCTCAGGTTTGTTGTGTGTTTTTTCTGTACAAATGAATTGACATATTTATCATTTATTTTGGCTATAATTTGCTACCTCGTAATTTTGCAAGATTTACAATTTTAATTTATTTCTACTACAGTATACATTAACCCGATCCTGAAACTGGCCGACTTTACGTGATATTTACGTCACGCATTCGTCACGTGTTCTGTCAACCATCAACCTTCAACTTCTCTTATACCGCCTTCTGAACTTTTGGATTCGGCTCTTATCGACTAAATATTTTCGCCATTACTATGAAGCTATATCATTCGAACTGAAACTCAAGATTCTGTTTGATGAACTAAAATAAAAGCTTCCCTGATTATTTATTTAATTAACTACCTGTCGATTGTGTGAATACCTCACAAATGAGGCAGTACGACAATAATCATGTAGTTGCCCAAATGTTCCGCGTATTTGTGCTGTACATGAGCGAATTGTTGAGGATTCTTTTTAGTTATTTAATTTTTCTTTGCAGATTGGGTACATTTTATTATTATCCTTGTTATTTCCACTACTATCATAATTGTTTTTATTATTATTATTATTATTATTATTATTATTGTTATTATTATTATTATCATCATTATTATTATTTTTAATATTATTATTATCATTATTATTATTATTAATATTATTATTATAATTATTTTTTTATTAAGTAGTAGCAGTAGTAATATTACAATTTTTTGCTGTAAATACTTC